CTGCACTACAGAATGCATCAGATTGTTGGGTTTGTGGATTGTTACCAGACAGTGCTGAGACTATGCCATGTGGACCAAAGCAGGGAACCTTACAGACAGATAGCTTGATTGGGTAAAGGATAAGGTGTTTCATATGAAGAAGTGTATTGCTGTTGTTGTTTTTTTGTTCGTTTTTTTTGTTGCTTCAATACAAATCTCACCAGATTGGGTCTGCTGGATGGTCGGACGATTTCTCCCTAAGGATTAGACCTCTAACTCCCTGACCCTGTAACTCTGCGGTGAGGTCGCCTATGAATTTGTCATATAGTGAATAGTTTGTCTGGATTTCCTGAATCAGAAATGACCCAAAACTAAACTGTTGTTCTGGTCTGTCCTCACTCAAGGTTATGGCAAAGGTGACCACAGATGGTGTCTAGATGCACGGAAGGGATAATTCGACCGAGAACAGTGTGAGCCTCACCCCCTCTAACCGGCTGAAGTAATGGCGACAATGGCGTTCACTATGGCCCTGTCCTTCACCATTTCTACCTGAGACCTGAGTCCGAGCCAGCAACCTGCGCACAGCATCCAGTCGAAGCTATCAACAACAAGTCAACTGCCTTTTCTCTCAGGAGTGCGGCATGAGTCTATGTGGAGTGAGCATGGAGCGAGATCCCGTCCAAACTTCTCTCATGCTTCTGGTGTACTGGTCGGAAAATGGACAAGACATAATGGACCGTAAAGGATGGTGGCGGCTGAAGTGAGAGATTCGTCTGCTTGGGAAAATCAGATTATTCCCCAGATATTGAAAATCGGGACATTATCACGGGCCATCTACTTTGAACATGTGCCATTGGGAGGACGAACTGTAACGCTATCTGAAGAAGAAAATTAAGAAACCCCAGAAAAATGAGTGCCGGGAAGGATGGGGTCAACCGTGCCCGTAATTGATTTAGGCTTGTCCAAAATTGTTTATTTGGGGTATCAGGTTGATTGTGGAGGTCTGCACAATGCGAAATTTATAGTAATTTTGACTAAAAATGCATTGAGATACCAATCTGTCGTTAACATGCCACTCACAACAAAAGCTCCAGCTGAAATCTCATTGCCAGAATCCACACATTAAATTGTGTAATGAAGCATATGTGTAACTGTATGAAGCGAAGGTCTTAAGTTAAAACATTCTACTGCAACGGTTTTACAGGTAAGAGCTATGGAAACAATCTGAGTCTACACATCCCTTGTGTATTTTAAGATTGTACAACCCAGAGTGAAGGGTTAGAAAGGATGAAGTGTCTGGTTTCATGTGTTGATTTCGCTTACTTTAATAAAAAGTATAGAACCTCCTTTTGATAGAAGCTATAATCTAATGCTTACCTTAAAATGTAACGATAATTATCACAGAGTGATAAGAGGGAATATTTTATGTTTGTGCTTTTCTAATAACCAATTCGACTGGGTTCATGCAAGTGACTGATTGATCGTGCATGGGAGGAATCCTCACTATCAGTATAAGCAATTTGGCAGTACGCCCAGAACATTGTTTTGAGAACCGAAAGGGGTATCTCAGTTTCAAGGTTTCAGCTTGGAGAGAAGAAGCCTTGTGAGGTATTGGTCAGTCACATGCATGAACCAAACGTTATTGATGAATTAATTATGAATAATGAATGATGTAAATCATGCAAATATAACTTGTCCGTGTAAGCAGTATATAAGAGAACTAACGGGACTGCCCCGGGGGAGTGTACTATGGTGCTTTAAGTTTGTTGGAACCTCTCCAGTTTGCTGATAATAAAGAATGATTAATTTAATATTAAACTTCAGGTGTCCCTGTTGGTCATTTCCACGACACTGTGCATAGGAATAAGGTGTAATTTGAAACAGCCAATAGCTTCAACTCAAAAGGAGCAGACAACCCTACGTGATTATAAGGGGACAGTAATACCTTTATTTTATCAAAACAACCAACATAGAAAGTCACTGGTCCTGATCATGATTATCAGAGTCTTCCAGTTTTAGGATTTTCTAATCACCCATTAAGAATTCTGAACTTCAATCTGAGCATCTTTAACACATGTTAAGGAGCACATAAATATATCTTCATATTTTAGTCTATTTACCTTCGAGAAGCATCTGTGACATTCATTTTGCAGAAGTTGATTGTGGAGGACATTCGTACAAAAATGTAGAGCTAACTTTTCACGTAAACCTTTTTAATGTGCAGTTTTTGTTTTGATTTTACAACTTTGTAAATATATATTTATTAATTTACAAACCAAATCATACAGTATACCTATCTGAATAGCAAAATTGGTAGGCACTTTAGACAGTACTTTCAGAACTACCTTAAGTGTCTATAAATATGAAAAATATCACCCACATACATACACATATACAGTACCAGTCAAAAGTTTGGCCACACTTACTCATTCAAGGTATTTTCTTTATTTGTACAATTCCCCACATTGTAGAATAATAGTGAAGACATCAAAACTATGAAATAACACATGGAATCATGTAGTAACCAAAAAAGTGTTAAACAAATCAAAATATATTTTATATTTGAGGTTCTTCAAATAAGCCACCCTTTGCCTTGATGACAGCTTTGCACACTCTTGGCATTCTCTCAACCAGCTTCATGAGGAATGCATTTCAATTAACAGGTGTGCCTTCTTAAAAGTGAATTTGTGGAATTTCTTTCCTTCTTACTGCGTTTGAGCCAATCAATTGTCCAGAAGATAGCCCTATTTGGTAAAAGTCCATATTATGGCAAGAACAGCTCAAATAAGCAAAGAGAAACGACAGTCCATCATTACTTTAAGACATGAAGGTCAGTCAATACGTACAATTTCAAGAACTTTGAACGTTTCTTCAAGTGCAGTCGCAAAAACCATCAAGCGCTATGAAGAAACTGGCTCTCATAAGGACCGCCACAGGAATGGAAGACCCAGAGTTACCTCTGCTGCAGAGGATAAGTTCATTAGCGTTAACAGCCTCAGAAATTGCAGCCCAAATAAATGCTTCACAGAGTTCAAGTAACAGACACATCTCAACATCAGCTGTTCAGAGGGGACTGTGTGAATCAGGCCTTCATGGTTGAATTGCTGCAAAGAAACTACTACTAAAGGACACCAATAAGAAGAAGAGACTTGCTTGGGCCAAGAAACACGAGCAATAGACATTAGACTGGTGGAAATGTGTCCTTTGGTCTGGAGTCCAAATTTGAGATTTTTGGTTCCAACCGTCGTATCTTTGTGAGACGCGGTGTGGGTGAACGGATGTTCTCCGCATGTGTATTTCCCACCGTAAAACATGGAGGAGGAGGTGTTATGGTGTGGGGGTGCTTTGCTGGTGACACTGTCTGTGATTCATTTAGAATTCAAGGCACACTTAACCAGCATGGCTACCACAGCATTCTGCAGCGATACGCCATCCCATCTGGTTTGGGCATAGTGGGACTATAATTTGTTTTTCAACAGGACAATGACCCAACACACCTCCAGGCTGTGTAAGGGCTATTTAACATGAAGGAGAGTGATGGAGTGCTGCATCAGATGACCTGGCCTCCACAATCCCCCGACCTCAACCCAATTGAGATGGTTTGGGATGAGTCGGACCGCAGAGTGAAGGAAAAGCAGCCAACAAGTGCTCAGCATATGTGGGAACTCCTTCAAGACTGTTGGAAAAGCATTCCAGGTGAAGCTGGTTGAGAGAATGCCAAGAGTGTGCAAAGCTGTCATCAAGGCAAAGGGTGGCTACTTTGAAGAATCTCAAATATAAAATATATTTTGATTTGTTTAACACTTTTTTGGTTACTACATGATTCCATATGTGTTATTTTATAGTTGTGATGTCTTCACTATTATTCTACAATGTAGAAAATAGTAAAAAAATAAAGAAAAACCCTTGAATGAGTAGGTGTTCTAAAACCTTTGACCGGTAGCGTATGTTTGATTGTATATTTAATAGCACTGTATGTTTAATACATACAGTAGTCATATAGGTTACATCCAGAACGGCACCCTATTCCCTACACTAAGGCTACTGGTCAAATGTAGTGCACTATATAAGGAATAAAGTGCTATTTGGGACGGAACCATAGTCAAGCGATCTGATCAAACCACAGCCCGCAAATTACAGCTATTACCGGTTTTACCACAGTAGCCTTGTGGCTGATCCCCCGTCTCTCCGTCTGGGAAAAAACAGAAATGTCTGCCTGGTTTCACCAGACGCGCAGAGCAGAATTCACATGAATCGCTACAGCGTCGCTGTTGCCAGGAAGCATCAGGCAAGCCTCGCATCAGATCAGACAGCATGTGTCCCAAATGGCACCCTATTCCCTACATAGTGCACTACTTTTGACCAGGGAGGCCAGGGACTTTAGGGCTCACGATTAGGGTGCCATTTGGGACAGAACATAGAATAGGCCTATGGCTAAAATTCGATTAAAATAATACAAAACTTAAATTCCTACATCCCCAATTTGTCCAAACAGTCGTATGTCCTAGTACAGTCGAGATGTTCTCCCTCACGTTATATTGCACAGCTATAAACAGGAGGCATACACAAACAGTCCCCTCTTTGTTCAATGCATAAACTGGTCTGTCTGTAACAATAATGTGGCAGAAAATGTTACACAGACTGAGTGAATGGGACACTCAGGGCATTGAGTCCTGATTCTACCTCGTCTCCTTAATATAGCCAATGGAATGGATCCTTCTTTAGTAAATAAAGAAGACTATTTCAACCCCTTCTAAAGAATAGGACAACAAACTGCCACTGAATCAGAGAAGGTCTGCCTGAAGTTCTTCTGTGTGGAAGTTAGTCGCACCATCACCCTGTGTGGAAGTTAGTCGCACCATCATCCTGTGTGGAAGTTAGTCGCACCATCACTGAGTGACAGTTGGAAGAAAGAAAGCAGCTTTCAGTAATAACGTTCCTCCTCCTTCATCTCGGTGTATGTAACGTCTACGTTCCTCCTGATTGGATGAGGAGCTCTGATTAACAGGAGGTGGCTCCAATCACTGCTTGAGTAAGTCTTTGAGCACCTGCCCTCCGCTCTCGGCAGAGACAGGCAAAGGCGTGAAGGTGGGCAGGTTGTCTGAGATAGGTTTCATCAGGAGGTGGTGGTGTCCTCCCAACGCACTGGAACTACCACTCCCATGATGCATCAGTGGTACGGCCGCAGAGCGGGGAGCTAGGAAAGGGTTGGACTCCCCTGCTGCTCTCTGTCCCCTGCCGGCTGCCACCCCTCCTAGGAGGAAACAGAGGTCAGAGATTAGAGGTTAGAGGTCGGATGAAGCTGGAGGTGACGGGTTGAGACGGCCGTAGAGCTCTGCTACCCGACCCAAGCCTGACGGGCCCCGACATTATACATCAGGTTAGGGCCGGGTAGGGCCTGTTTTCTCATCAATAACTAGGGTTCGGGTAGGGCTCGGGTATCACTAAATTGATCACTAACATTTTGAAGCTCGGCCATTTCCTCGTGCTCTGCTGCGCAGTACAGTCATATCTGACTAAGACCATAACATGGTGTCAGAAGCGCTTCAACCTCGTCCAATATAAAAACAGGAGAGATTACTTCACAGAAAATAATGATGTTCATTGAGTTTTGTCAGAGTTTAGAGTGACTGAAAGTAGCTACCAGCTAACTGCTCTCTCATGTCTCTTTATTGAGCAGAGCAGCCCAAGTGGAGCCGTTGCTATGGATACTCACAGACTCAGAGCGCCATGAGCAGAGCGCATGCAGAGCGAGCTGCAAGCAGGGAGCTAGTGACAGACAGAGAGAAGCAGCTAATGGATTTACTAATGGTTTCGGGGATTCAGGCAGGGTCGGGCCTTAAATTTGGCAGAAGCAATCGGGCCTGGGTAGGGTAGGGTAGGACCTGAACGTTGCGGGCATGGGTAAGGCCCGGGTTTAAAATGTAATGCCGTGCAGGGCTGTACATGACCAGAACCTCAAGGTTTGCTTAAGTAAGAAGAAAACAAAAAAAGTCTCTACTGAGGTTGTGGCGGAGGGTGAAACTGAGGGTTGATATTCCTACAGCAGAAGATAATGAACGATCCCTCTGGGTGCTGCCGGCCACGGGAAATCACCTGTCACACACAGGTGCTAATGCTCTGTCTCAACCCTAGACAGAACCCCTGCTACACTGCCTGCTAAACTAATGCCCTCAGACTCAGCCCTAGCCAGAACCTAAACTTCACCCTGGAGCAATATTACCATGACAGCATTACTTCACCCTGGAACTATATTACCATGACAGCATTACTTCACCCTGGAACTATATTACCATGACAGCATTACTACACCATGGAACTATATTACCATGACAGCATTACTTCACCCTGGAACTATATTACCATGACAGCATTACTTCACCCTGGAACTATATTACCATGACAGCATTACTACACCATGGAACAATATTACCATGACAGCATTACTTCACCATGGAACAATATTACCATGACAGCATTACTACACCATGGAACAATATTACCATGACAGCATTACTTCACCCTGGAACAATATTACCATGACAGCATTACTTCACCCTGGAACAATATTACCATGACAGCATTACTTCACCCTGGAACAATATTACCATGACAGCATTACTTCACCATGGAACAATATTACCATGACAGCATTACTTCACCCTGGAACAATATTACCATGACAGCATTACTTCACCCTGGAACAATATTACCATGACAGCATTACTTCACCCTGGAACAATATTACCATGACAGCATTACTTCACCATGGAACAATATTACCATGACAGCATTACCTTCTGGTTGTTGAGCCCAGGCTGAGCTGGTGGTCCTCCCAGGGGGCGGGGCACTGAGGGGTTTGATGTCATAGACAGGAAGTCTGGGGACAGGAAGCACCGGGCTAGACTCGACCTCCAGGAACTTCACAAACATCTCAGAGAAAGACTGGAAAATAAATTAAGTAAAACTGTATTTGTCACATGCTTCGTAAACAACAGGTTTAGACTAACATGCTGACTAGACGCGCACGCCAGCCATCGTGCGCATGTTGATTTTTTTCCACCCACACCAGACGCGATCAGGACAAGCAGGTTGAAATATAAAAAAAAACGAACTCTGAACCAACTATATTCATTTGGGGACAGGTCGAAAAGCATTAAACATTTATGGAAATTTAGCTAGCTAGCTTGCTGTTGCTAGCTAATTTGTCCTGGGTTATAAACATTGGGTTGTTATTTTACCTGAAATGCACAAGGTCCTCTACTCCGACAATTAATGCACAGATAAAACCAAGTTCTATTTTAGCGCCTGGCTACGCAGATGCTCATTGACGCTCGCAAGCAGTTTGGATGAAATGATTGAGTAACGTAATGTATGTGCACATTTAGTTTTCAACGCTCGCGCATGTAACAGTGAAATGCTTACTTACGAACCCTTCCCAACGACGCAGAGAGAAAGAAAATAGAGAAATAATAGAAAAGTAAAAGACGTAATAATAAAAGTAATAATATAATAAGTATAAATAAATACACAATGAGTAACGATAACTTGGCTATATACACGGGGTACCAGTACCGAGTTGATGTGCAGGGGTACGAGGTAATTGAGGTAGATATGTCCATTTAACTAGGAATAAAGTGACAGATAATAAACAGTAGCAGCAGCGTATGTGATGAGTCAGAAAATGTAGTGCAATAAGTACAAAAATGCAGATAGTTAAATAGTTACCCAAATAGCTACCTGTACTAACTATTTAGCAGTCTTATGGCTTAGGCGTAGAAGCTGTTCAGGGTTCTGTTGGCTCCAGACTTGGTATATCGGTACCACTTGCCGTGGGGTAGCAGAGAGAACAGTCTATGACTTGGGTGGCTGGAGTCTCAGAAAATGTTTAGGGCCTTCCTCTGACACCGCCTGGTATAGAGGTCCTGGATGGGAGTGTTGTACTGAGTTGTAGCGCCTAGCTGTCGGATGCCAAGCAGTTGCCATACCAGGCGGTGATGCAGCCAGTCAAGATGCTCTCAATGGTGCAGCTGTATAACTTTTTGAGGATTTGAGGATCTTAGTGATGAGCTTGGAGGGCACTATGGTGTTGAACGCTGCGCTGAAGTCAATGAACAGCATTCTCACATAGGTGTTCCTCTTGTCCAGTTGGGAAAGGGCAGTGTGGAATGCAATAGAGATTGCGTGGATCTGTTGGGGTCGGTATGCGAATTGGAGTGGGTCCAGGGTGTCTGGGATGATGGTGTTGATGTGAGCCATGACCAGCCTTTCAAAGCATTTCAATGGCTACAGATGTGAGTGCTACAGGGCGATAGTCATTTAGACAGGTTACCATGGCGTTCTTGGGCACAGGGACTATGGTGGTCTGCTTGAAACATGTAGGTAGTACAGACTGGGTCAGGGAGAACTGGTGCATGCTCAGAGTACGCATCCTGATAATCCGTCTGGCCCTGCGGCCTTGTGAACGTTAACCTGTTTAAAGGTCATACTCGGCTACAGAGAGCGTGATCACACAGTCGTCCAGTTGGGGCTCTCATACATGGTTCAGTGTTGCTTGCCTCGAAGTGAGCATAGAGGGCATTTAACTTGTCTGGTTGGATGGCATCACTGGGCAGCTCGTGGCTGGGTTTCCCCTTTGTAATCCGTGATAGTTTGCAAGCCCTGCCACATCCGACGAGCTTCAGAGCCGGTGTAGTAGGATCTTATCGGCGCTTTTCCTGTTTGATGGTTCGTCGGAGGGCGTAGCGGGATTTCTTAGAAGCGTCCGGATTAGTGTCCCGCTCCTTGAAAGCGGCAGCAGATGATGCCTTTAATCCAAGGCTTCTGGTTGGAATATGTACGGTCACTGTGGGTACAACGTCGTCGATGCACATATTAATGAAGCCGGTGATTGATGTGGTAAACTCCTCAATGCCATCGGATGAATCCCGGAACATGTTCCAGTCTGTGCTAGCGAAAACAGTCCTGTAGCGTAGCATCCCCGTCATCTGACCACTTCCGTATTGAGAGAGTCACTGGTACTTGCTGTTTGAGTTTTTGCTTGTAAGCAGGAATCAGGAGGATAGAGTTCTGGTCAGATTTGCCAAATGGAGGGCGAGGGAGAGCTTTGTATGCGTTTCTGTGCGTGGAGTAAAGGTGATCTAGTGCTTTTTCACCTCTAGTTGCAGACATGACATGCTGGTAGAAATGGATTTCAGTTTTCCTGCATTAAAATCACCGGCCACTAGGAGCGCCGCCTCTGGATGAGCATTTTCTTGTTTGCTTATGCATCTATACAGCTCGTTGAGTACGGTCTTAGTGCCAGCGTCGGTTTGTGGTGGTAAATAGACAGCTACGAAAGTTATAGATGAAAATTATCTTGGTAAATATTATGGTCTACAGCACGCAAGCAAAACCTTGAGACTTCCTTAATACCTCGTTGAAGTAGAAATCTTCATCCAAATCGAGGTTAGTGATCGCTGTTCTGATGTCCAGAAACTCTTTTCGGTCTTTAGGAAACGGTGGTGGAAACAATTAGGTACAAAAAAAGATCAGCGCAAAATAGCAGAATTGGTCAGGAGCCTGTAAAATGGCTGCTATTGTAGTGTCTGAGGAATTTATGACTTTGCTAATGGTTTCAAGTGGTTTTATCTGTAAATTGAAGCTGGAATACTCTGATATAATAAACCTTTATGATCAAAGTACAGCGTCAGCGGACTTCCTTGTTTTCACAGCATAATTAGCAACGTTTTCTCGACACCACACTATCTAATGCGTGTGTGTGTGTGTGTGTGTGTGTGTGTACACTGCCTTCAGAAAGTATTCACAACCCTTGACTTTTTCCACAGCGTGAATTTAAAATGGATTACATTTAGATTCTTTTGTCACTGGCCTACACACAATACCCCATAATGTCAAAGTGGAATTATATTTCACAGAATATTTACACATTAATTAAAAGTGAAAAGCTGAAATGTCTGGAATCAATAAGTATTCAACCCCTTTGTTATGGCAAGCCTAAATAAGTTCAGGAGTAAAAAAATTGCGCAACATTGTAGTTACTCCACAATACTAACCTAATTGACAGAGTGAAAATAATAAAAATATTCCAAAACATGAACCCTGTTTGCAACAAGGCACTAAAGAAATACTAAAGAAAATGGGGCAAAGCAATTAACTTTTTGTCCTGAATACAAAGGGTTATGTTTGGGGCAAATCCAATACAACACATTACTGAGTACCACTCTCCATATTTTCAAGCATAGTGGTGGCTGCATCGTGTTATGGGTATGCTTGTAATCGATAAGGACTGGGGAGTTTTCAGGATAAAAAAGAAACAGAATTGAACTAAGCACAGGCTAAATCCTAGAGGTAAACCTGGTTCAGTCTGCTTTCCACCAGACACTGGGAGATTAATTCACCTTCCAGCAGGACAATAACCGATAACACAAGGCCAAATCTACACTGGAATTGCTTACCAAGAAGACAGTGAATGTTCCTGAGTGGCCAAGTTAAAGTTTTGTCTTAAATCTACTTGAAAATCTATGGCAAGACTTGAAAATCGTTGTCTAGCATTGATCAACAACCAATTTGACAGAGCTTGAAGAATTCTGAAAATAATAAATGGCAAATGTTGTACAATCCAGGTGTGGAAATCTCTTAGAGACTTACCCAGAAAGACTCACAGCTGTTATCGCTGCCAAAGGTGATTCTAAAATGTATTGACTCAGGGGTGTGAATACTTATGTAAATTAGATATTTATGTATTAAATTTTTTATAAATTAGCTAAAATTGTCATTATGGGTATTATGGTTAGATGGATGCGAAAACAAAATATATTTAATACACTTTGAATTGAAGCTTTAACACAAGAAAATGTGGAATAAGTGAAGGGGTGTGAATACTTTGAAGGCACTGAATCTGTGTTTGTAGGTCTGTGTGTGTACTCACGGTGTTGAAGCCCCCCTGTCCTGCGCCTGGTCTCTGAG